CTCTCTCTCTCTCTCTCTCTCTCTCTCTCTCTCTCTCTCTCTCTCTCTCTCTCTCTCTCTACTCTCTCTCTCTCTCTCTCTCTCTCTCTCTCTCTCTCTCTCTCTCTCTCTCTCTCTCTCTCTCTCTCTCTCTCTCTCTCTCTCTCTCTCTCTCTCTCTCTCTCTCTCTCTCTCTCTCTCTCTCTCTCTCTCTCGCTCTCTATCTTTTTCCCTCGCTCTCATCTCTCTCACCCTCCCTCCCCTCTATCCTATACGCCTACCTCCCACTGTAGCCTCGTCGTTCGGCGATGAATACCCGTCTCCCTCTTTGATCCTGCTCCTCACGACCCCGCCGTCCTTCTCCTTCGTCAGATCCTCTCCTTGCCAGCTCAGCAGCTCCACCTCGAACACCAGCGTCGCATCAGCGGGGATCTTCGGCGGGCTCCCGGCCTTCCCGTACGCGTACTCGCTGCCGCAGGTCAGCTCGCAGATCTCGCCCTTGAGCATGGTCGCAACGCCGATGTCCCACGACTTGATGACGCTTCCTGGAGCAACCGTACGACGATTAGCTAAACCAGAGCTTCTTAAACTATTCGAGTACTTTCGTTAAGTTTCATTCCCCCACCCACAAAACAATTTCATTCACCTAAGTTACCCTTAAGTGACCCTTAATTTCAGTTTAAGAAGCACTGACCTAAACCACTGATTGTAACTCAGTACTGAAAGTGGGGTAGATTCTACTTTAGGGCCCCTGTATACACATACGTGCAAACATTTATTATTATTATTATTATTATTATTAAATCTTTATTGCGTGTAATTCAAATGCAAATACATGTACTGGAGACGGTCTTTTTCGTCTTTCACATTTTAACATGATGAGGTTATAGTTGGTGGGTTAGGTTTACAGGGGGTGATGCACGTGACGTGTAGATTCACACACAGGCATTCTACAGCATTCTTCAGCTTTCCAAATGAGAAGGTACTCGTGTAACTGCAATAATTAGATGCTATATATTAATTTTCTCGACACAGTGGTGCAGAGGACACATCGCACACTGCACATGCCAAACTGATACATTATGTTATGCCGCGAATTGCTGATGTGTGTTTCCTCCATACCACAATACCCAAATTTATTAATCATACAGAAATAACAGTTATATACTGATATTATAGTTTATTATGATTTCCTCACCTTTTCCAAGAACAAACTCGAACGGATCACCCCTGTCTCTGCTCGAGTCAAACTTGCTTCCATCAGTCAACGTGCCTACATAGTGAACAGTTACGGTGTCACCGCTGTTTGGCTTGGTAGCACCATGGCCCTCTCGCTTGATCACCTTCAACACTCCTCCATCCTGTTTTGGAGTCACATCTAGACCTTTCTCATTCTGTGGGGTTTCTTCGATTTCAACCATATCTGTGGCTGCAAGAAATATACCACGTGTACGGTGGGTGTAGTTAACCAGACAACGTATAACAAACAAGTGCCGCAGAGCGACAGCGCTCACCACAGGGTTCATTACAGTGTGCTAATACAGGGTGCTACTCAGGGTGCTAATACAGACTGCTTTAGAAAATAATATGATTTAAGGAGCGTAAACCTTGTTCAACAAACATTTGCCTTTGCAATTGAACTGTGCAAGTGTAGCCTCACATCCACAATAGCAAAAGCAGTTCAGTCCTTTGTTAACACTAACAGTCAACAAATCCATGTTTAACCCTCCTCTTGCGGGTCAAAAGGTTATCCGACACTTACTCTTCGCATGTCAGCAGAAAGTACATTTCATGGTCCTTTCAATAAAGCCATAAAAATGCTAGGTCACCTCTGAAACAAAAAAGTTTTTCATTCGCTCCGTCAGACCATGTGCTCAGAAAATGTCTAAAATCTGCCCTGTGCCCCATTGACCTTTGACCTCCAATTTCGGCACAGCAATGGCTTTTCCTACCATGATGCTATACACCGACTATCACAAGCCTAGGTCGAGCCATTTAGATTTGTGCCACAATTCTGCATTTCCTCCCTATACCTTGAGTTAAGGAGGGAAAGTTCCCTTCTTTTACACCTCTTGACATTTGACCTTTGACCCCCAGCTTCGACATCCCAACTCGCTTTCGGATTACCGCCCCACGTCCCGAATATCGTGACCGTACGTCGAGCGGTTAAGATTTGTGCCCAACTGTTGACGGACGGACGCACGGACGGCCGGACGGACAATCATGCGATTCTACAAGCTGCACCTAACTACGCCAGATGAGCTAAAAAGCATGACTAGCACACTTATTTACATTGTGGTCCTTGTTTTGCTATGCCTTGAATCTAACAATTACACTACTATCAGCACTAACTACTCAAATATACAAATTTGTAGTTTTAACCAGTCATACAATGGTACATTCTCATAAGACGATACAAACTTTTCTAATGCCTAACTTCAACCGAATTCTTTTAGCAAAAATCATACTCCTCTGCCTCTAATCTTTCTACCTTTTCCATCAGACATTTCTTAACACTATACTTAAAACCAGAATAAACAGAATTTGTCCTAACTTGCTGTGGTAGAGAGTTCCAAGCTTCAATTGCAGTAGAAGTAAAAGTTTTTCCCACACTCGGTTTAAAAATAGACATCTCACCTTCCCTTGTATTAAAACTATGGACTTTTGACGTTAACATGAAACCTTCTGTCATATACTGTGGGCCGAGATTATGTAATATTTAAAAAACCCTTTTGACCTTCAGTTGCATTACCCTGAACTCTACAGGTACCCAATTTACAGCCTTGAAATCTCTAGCACCTATGTGTGCTCTAGTACCTAGGTTGAGAACACATCTAATGGCTCTATTTTTACACACTTGCAGCTTAGCCCTTGTGCGCTTTGTGAGACTGCTGTACCATATACTGCTTGCATAGTCAAAATGACATTGAATTAGGGCAGAAACTAGTAATCTTTTACATGCCGTGTTTAAATACTTAGTTTTTCTGAAAAGAAATTTCAATCTATTGTTAACCTTTTTTACAACCGAAATTCCCGTTACCTCACCACTCATGGAGTCTTCCAAGTCTATTCCTAGATACTTATTTTTATGTGAAATTGCCACCCCATTACATCTGATGTCCAGTTTTGGATTATCCCGGAGTATGTGTTTAGTTCCAAAAATAATACTTTCTGTTTTTCCAAGATGCAAGGATAAATTATTATCATTGAGTCATTTATTAATGGAATGCAATTCTCTACTTAATTCTTCCTGTATAGCCTGTACCTCTGTCCCTGAAACTAGGCCGAATCATCAGCATATAATAAAAGCTTGACATTAACTGCCTTTGCCATGTCAATAACATAAATCAGAAATAACAGAGGACCCAAAATCGAGCCTTGTGTACTCCACATGCAATAGGGTCCTTATTAGAGAAGGTACCTCCTACATCTGTTATTTGGCTTCTACCAGAGAGCTAAGCAACAAACCATTTCACAGTCCTAATATCCATTCCGATAGTTTTTAGCTTGGCTAGTAGAATTTTATGGTCAACGGTATCAAAAGCTTTTTGAAGATTTAATAAAACCATACCAGTTAAATTTCCTTTGTCCGACTCATTACGAATAATATCAGTTAGATGGATTAAACTTGTGTCAGTTGAGAAATTTGATCTAAAGCCAGATTGGAACCCGTAGAGTAAGGAATTTTCTATTAAATATTTCTCTACTTGGTTATAGGCTATTCGCTCCAAAA